GCTACTATATATATATATATATATATATTATATATGGATCAGATCTCATTGACTTTTATGTATCTATATAGCACAAGAGCATGTGAGTGATTTAGGAAATGATAGTAAAATGTTAAGGTTGGTGGGTGGTGTAGGAATCTAATTCCCCTATCTAATCAATCTTTGCAGAATATTTCTTTAACTCATTTTCATGCAAAAATAAAGTAAGGGTACTCTAGCTGTACAGTTATATGCAAAGTTGCAAAGGAAAGCTTAGCCCTGCAGCTTTTGCCCCCATTATTTTGTTCACCTGCTGTCACCTCTCCTTCCCACGTTTACACAATAAAAATTACATGGGGTTCAGTAATTTATTCTTCTAATTCTTATTCTACTTCCCATATCCTCCTTGTTTTGATATGGGTTTTGTCAGAGGCAGGGATTTGAGAACTGTAAATCTGAGATTAAGAAGCAGACAAATCTCTTGCTTGATCTGCTCACGTGCTTTAAGCCTTTTTTCTTTTCTTTTCTTTCGATTAAAGATGGTGGTCCAATATATTCTGCATTGCAATTTACAGGGCTCCCTAATTTTGATTTCAGTGACACTGGTGGAGTGGGCAAATTGCGCATTTATATTTGTATGGATTTTGGGCCAAAAAGATGGGTCACCAACTGGTCATGCTATTGTAACATCGCTCTGCAAAACCGACTTTGAGGGTCAAGTGTTCTTCTAAAACAGGCCCAGCAGAAGCTTGCTCTGTCTATAGCTTGAAAGCCCAAGCATCACAATTATTTTGACCCGTTCGGTGGCTGGGACTGAACATGATTGGAATTGAGTCCAATTTAGTCCTATTGAGTCTTCAATAATTCTATAGTGAGGGCCTTATTTAAGGCCCTTAAATAAGACCCTATCTCTTAATAATTTGATCCAATTGATTAGTTTGATCTAACGATTAAAATATAGGATCTCATCTAAGAGCCTTAGATAAAGTCCTCACTATAGAATGACTCGTTGAGTGTTACCCTTCGTTTGGTGGAAGGAGTTGAACATGATTGGAATTGAGTCCAATTTAGTCCTACAAAGTCTATTTGGTGGCCGTGACAAAATAGGATTGGAATTGAATCCAGTTTAGTGTTATATTGTCTTACCACCTCAATACGGGACTTGTACATCGACTTTTTTCCATTTTAGTAAGTCAAGCCCCCAACGCGTCCATAATTCAACAAACACATTCCATACATTAATTCAGTTTACTTGAGATAGTCTAATCCACACCGAACCACCAAACTGGTTGCTAAACTATGGGTAAGACTCTAGGAAATGCCACAATCTCTTTTAAGTTTTGAGATTAAATTAACTATGTTTTTGAGTGTTTTGACTGAATGAACTATTTTCAAAACTTATGAATCCAAGTTGATGCCCACCTTTTAAGCCCATTAAATATTTGAGAGTTACAAGAATTCTATAGTAAGGGCCTTATCAGATAAGATAAGGCCCAATCTCTTAATTATTAGATCAAATTGATTAGTTTGATTCAACGGTTAATAAATATAGCCTCATCTAAGGGCCTTATCTAAGACCCTTACTATCAAGAATTCTATAGTGACGACCTTATATATGACCCTTAGATGAGGCCTTATCTCTTAACCGATAGATCCAATTAGTTAACCTGATTAAACAATTAAGATATAAAATCTCACCTAATGGCCCTCAATATAGAATGACTCTTGGGAATTAAGCCCAAAGGAAGGCCATACAAGAAGATATTAGGATTGTAAGAAATGGGCAAGAAGAAAAATCTCAGACACAGAATTGAACGGAACTTTTGACCCCAAAAAAAAAAAATTCAACGAAACGGCGCGAATTGCTCGATCTTTCATACAGCCAATCTTTGCAAAGAGACAATTTTACCACCGTCCTTTGGAGAAATTTCCGAGTATGAGTGGGTGGGACACGGAACTCGTAAGCCCAATTTGAAAAGGAAACAACGCCCACGAAGGAAATAGCATCAGAACCGTCCGTGAGATTCAAATCAACGGCTAGAATCAAACCGAACATTCTGGACACACTCCCCCCCAATAATCGTAAATACGAACATTCTAGACAAGCTCTCTCTCTCTCTACTATATAGCACCCACCACACAAGTCTCGCTCCAGTATCTGTGACTTGAAACCCTATCAAAGCTTTTCAATTCCTCTGCGATTCGTTCTCTTTTCTCTGCGCTTCTTTTCTTGATTGTCTGATTTAAGTCTCCGAGCTTTGGGTCCGTACAACAATGGCAGGAAAAGGAGAAGGACCGGCGATCGGGATCGATCTCGGCACCACCTACTCTTGCGTCGGAGTTTGGCAGCACGACCGCGTCGAGATCATCGCCAACGATCAGGGCAACAGGACGACGCCCTCTTACGTTGCGTTTACCGATAGCGAGCGTTTGATCGGCGATGCGGCCAAGAACCAGGTCGCTATGAACCCGGTCAACACCGTCTTCGGTAATCTTTCAAATCCTTTTTGTTTATTTTCCAACCTTTTAAGTTACTTAATTCTTTGGTTACTACTTTCCGTTTCGGTTTTGTTGTTATGATTTTGTTTGGCCTTGCATGTTCAGTTTTATTTGATTGTTTAGTTCAGGGGCTACACCAGTTTGACTGTGTGCTGTCTGATCTCTGCTTGTTTGAGTGATTTTATGAATTTCAGTGTCAATATTTATTGTTCTATATTTCAATGATCCGATTTGGTGTTATTAGTTTCACTCGGTTTTACTAGATCTCTGCTTGTTTGGACTATTTATAAGTTTGTTTGGAAATTTGTGTTGTGCAAAAAAATATATTAAATTTCATGTTAATTTGAGGTTTTTTTAAGTTAATTGACTCTGTCTATAATACAATTTTTTGTTGTTGGGTCGAGGCTTTGAGTTTTATATTTAATCCGTTCGATTTCTTGATATGGTGTTGTTAGTTCATGAAGCGTTTCTAAACCAGCTTCGTTACTTTTGCAGATGCAAAGAGGTTGATTGGTAGGAGATTCTCTGACCCTTCTGTTCAGAGTGACATGAAGCTCTGGCCTTTCAAGGTCATTCCAGGCCCTGGTGATAAGCCCATGATTGTTGTCACATATAAGGGTGAAGAGAGGCAGTTTGCTGCAGAAGAAATCTCGTCCATGGTTCTCATCAAGATGCGTGAGATTGCTGAGGCCTATCTAGGCTCATCTGTGAAGAATGCCGTTGTTACTGTCCCAGCTTACTTCAATGATTCTCAGCGTCAGGCTACCAAGGATGCTGGGGTCATTGCTGGGCTTAATGTGATGCGTATTATCAATGAGCCCACCGCTGCTGCTATTGCTTATGGTCTTGACAAGAAGGCAACCAGTGTTGGCGAGAAGAATGTCCTGATTTTTGATCTTGGAGGAGGTACTTTTGATGTCTCTCTTCTCACTATTGAAGAGGGTATCTTCGAAGTCAAGGCTACTGCTGGAGACACCCACTTGGGAGGAGAGGATTTTGACAATAGAATGGTGAACCACTTTGTCCAAGAATTTAAGAGGAAGCACAAGAAGGACATCATCGGAAACCCAAGAGCTCTGAGGAGGTTGAGAACAGCGTGTGAGAGGGCAAAGAGGACTCTCTCATCCACTGCTCAGACAACCATTGAGATTGATTCTTTGTATGAGGGTGTCGACTTCTACACAACAATTACCCGCGCAAGATTCGAAGAGCTCAACATGGACCTCTTTAGGAAGTGTATGGAGCCAGTTGAGAAGTGTTTGAGGGATGCAAAGATGGACAAGAGCACTGTCCACGATGTCGTGCTTGTGGGTGGTTCTACTAGGATTCCAAAGGTACAGCAGTTGTTGCAAGACTTCTTCAACGGAAAGGAGCTTTGCAAGAGTATCAACCCAGATGAGGCCGTTGCTTATGGTGCCGCTGTACAGGCTGCTATCTTGAGTGGTGAAGGCAATGAGAAGGTGCAGGATCTTTTGCTTCTTGATGTCACTCCTCTGTCCCTTGGGTTGGAGACTGCTGGAGGTGTGATGACTGTGTTGATCCCAAGGAACACTACCATCCCAACCAAGAAGGAGCAAGTGTTCTCTACCTACTCAGACAACCAACCCGGTGTCTTGATCCAAGTCTATGAGGGTGAAAGGACCAGAACCCGTGACAACAACTTGTTGGGAAAATTCGAGCTCTCTGGAATTCCTCCAGCTCCAAGGGGTGTGCCTCAGATCACAGTCTGCTTTGATATTGATGCCAATGGTATCTTGAATGTCTCTGCTGAGGACAAGACGACAGGCCAGAAGAACAAGATTACCATTACCAATGACAAGGGAAGACTGTCCAAGGAAGAAATCGAGAAGATGGTTCAAGAGGCTGAGAAGTATAAGTCGGAAGATGAGGAGCACAAGAAGAAGGTGGAGGCGAAGAACGCCCTGGAGAATTACGCCTACAATATGAGGAACACCATTAAGGATGACAAGATTGCTTCCAAGCTCGACGCTGCTGACAAGAAGAAGATTGAGGATGCAATTGAGCAGGCCATTCAATGGCTTGATGGCAACCAGCTTGCTGAGGCGGATGAGTTTGAGGACAAGATGAAGGAGCTTGAGAGCATCTGCAACCCGATCATTGCCAAGATGTACCAGGGTGCCGGTGGTCCAGATGTCGGTGGTGGCATGGATGAAGATGTTCCTCCTGCTGGTGGCAGCGGTGCTGGTCCCAAGATCGAGGAAGTTGATTAAGTTGTTTTTGTGGCTGTGTTTTGAAGAAAATGGTGGGGGTTGTCAGCTGGTTAAGTTCTTATTATTTTTTTAAAAGTATTTCGGTCTGTTAGTTAAGGTTTGAACTCCGTAAACGTCTGTTAAATCTCCAAGATCCGTGTACGGTCATCTTGGTCATTTTGTTGATAATGTTGTGTTTCAATTTTACCAATTAAGCCTATTTTCCTTATAATTAAGATCTCTTGGGTTTTTTGATTGGATCAATTCAATAATTTAGACATCGTCATTATTTCACCCGAAAAAAAGTTTCCATTGATTCACAATTGGGATTCTTAATTAGTTTAATTGGATTTTAATTCCAAAACTAACCAACTATAAGATTGTAACTCTCTCGACAGGATTATAAGAAAAACAAACAGGCAAGAAACTATTTCAGCTATGTTTTGAAACCTTTTCATGCTAAACCACTGTGCCCCGAAACCTCCTTAACAGCCTCCTCTTCCATTTCCACAAGTTGGCGGCAGAATGATTCGACATCACGTGCCTCTTCCTTCAAAGATAATCTAAATTGCTTCCACTGAAACTGGCCATATCCATCCTTCAACGCAGGACTAGGAACCTTGCTCAATACCTCAAATCCCTTACGATCGATAGACAGCATGTATGCATCCTTCCATGACAGCATGTAAATAAATGAGTTAAGAATGAGCAAGCACCCAAGTAACCATTAAAACATGAAACTCCTAAAATGCATGAACTTACCTTTGCATTTGTATTGAAGTATGTCAAGCAGAAAAGCATGAGGGCTCTGCGTCTGGCAGCGCTTTGATTTATCCCATCGATAAGCTTAGCGGACAAAAGAGCTAGACATCAAAATATTACGCATGTGATTAGCATGGTAAAGCTCTATCTGCTTAATGCTATGAGAGTCCTTAAAAACTAGTTTCAGAAAGGTTCTACCTAACGGATCTGCTTTAGATGCGTTCATATCTTCCTGATCAATCTCATGAGTGTCTCCATTGCCGTCAACATACATGCATGATCTGTGCAATAAAGATTTTGCGTCAGAGGTAGCTGGGACTGAAATTTTAGGGGGTCCTCCAAAAAAACACATAATCTGAACTGCTGTACACGGTTAGCAAACAGAGACCAAACCCAGGAACATGAACATTTCTCCCACTGTAACACTATTAAGAAACCCAGAAACATGAGCATTTCTCCCATTGAAACAGTATTAAGAAACTATACATATTCAAGGACATCTAGGTTAATGTTTTGGAAACTAAAGCCACAGTTGTATTAAGGGAATGCACGGTAATACTCCTTATTGTGTAACTTAAAAAACAAAGAAAAATGAATTTTACTGAACACTGGCCAGGAGGTTGTCTGGTTATCAGGTGGGTCAGGCAGGGAGAACACCAAACAGGCGGTACTTCAATTAGAAAACAGAAGCCCCAGCTCCAATACTTTCTATCGAAGTCTTAATTCTAACCTGAGCCTAAAATAATTACAACCAGAGATACTGATGAAAACACCACATTCAGTTAACAACAAACTTTAAACAAAGATTTCGAGACAGCATCAAGAAAGAGGGGTTCTTGCCTTTGGTTGAACTTATAAACTATGTACTTTTCATCCCCTTCCAAGACCTCCTTAAGGTTTTCGCTTCGTGATGTACAGCTATGATCAGAAGAACTTAATATACCTGAAACTGTATAACTGGACTCACTTATTGCTTTCTGTTCCGTCAGTATGACTTCTTTAAGGACTTCTGTTGCAGACTTAACCTGTAACAAGAACAATAACATCTTAGTCAAGGAAAAATGTAACCATAATACTTGAAAGCCATCTGAGAGCTCAAATTCCAGTTGATCGCTTATTACTTGTGTGGTTTCAATCTAAGTAGGATTAGGTGTAATTCAGTCGCTTATTCTCTATCGTAATCTAATTATAACGATTAAAAGCATCACTGAATTCTTGGTTTGGATTTTCCTTATCCAGTGGATTATGTCATGGACCAGCATTAATTAAACAACCATATTAGGAGGTACAGACGTTATATGAGAGAACTTACAGAAAGAAAAATTTATCGTCTTGTGACAAAGAACATGGATCCAGTAGTTGGAATCAGAGCTATTCGAGTTCAGAATGCTATAAAAAGTAAAGTCGGGGTAGAATAAGATTACCTTTGCATCTGTTAGAGGTACAACATCTCCAATCAGAGCAACTCGAGCTGGTGACTGCAAATTCAGAAGAATGAACTATTAGCAGCTCTATGAAAGAAAGACCCATTGATGAATGGAGCAGATAAAAGCTATCTTTATAGTAGCTAACTTGGAGGGAGGGAGTTAAATCAAAAAGTGAATACCTTTTTTATCGATTTAAGCAAGCTTGCCAGTGGACCCGGGATGGGATTGGCCACAGCAAATGAACTGCGTTCATCAACAATTACATTCTGCATGAGAAGAAGAAAAATAAATAAGAGGATAACAGCTCTAATGACTAAAATTGCAGCCCCAGGGCACAAGGCACACCTGTCACTAGACAATAAAATCATTTTTTTACCCTAGGATATCTATCAAATAATTAAGTGAAGATATTAACAAAAAAACTCTGATAACTGCTCAAAATTCCTTTTAAAAAATTATGACTTAGCGTGTTAACACTTAAATTTCTAACAAACAATTTAAAACACCGCCAAAGACAGCTAACCAGCAAGCAATTAAAGTTCAAACTTTATGAATTTATGTCAGAAGGTAAAACTAATCACTCTAAACACTATGATATGAGCTTACCACATTATGCAACTCCTTTTCGGGTACCCAAATGTATGGCTTCCCTCTTTTGCAGATGTACTTAACCTTTGATCTGTATATGTCTTCCTTACTAACACAACCATACAGAGCAAACAACAAGAAATCCCACTAGTTAATGTATGAAAGTAGCAGTCTTCTTTGCCCCCGAATGGTTATAAAGACCACAAGAAGGTTAACAGACACTAAAACATTGGAACCCATATCTAATTATAGTTATGCAAAATGAAATCCTAAACTCAATTCCAAACTACTATACAAAATTATGAAGCGAGAAATAACGTCTACACGGGTCCTTTGATCCAAATCAATTGGGTTTTCAATGTGATTTCTTTTCGACAACTCAGTCCCCTACTGTTGCATCCTTGATCAGCTAAATTCTCAACCCAACTACACCAAGTTATTGTAGTATATTCAGTTGAGTGGAGGTGTTTGCTATCCGAATTAATGAAAAAGAATGATTCTTCAAAGTTTTCTAAGCATATCTTATGGCTAACTATATAAAGGGGCAACGAAGAAGAAGAAGAAGAAGAAGATGATGAAAAGTAACAGTTTTGAGCAAATGGGTACCTTCCTTTAGCATCAGCCTTTATGGTATTGAGTTGCCCTTGCCAGTTGGAAGACAGTAGGCTCTGCAAAAGTTTCAAGGTCATGACAAGCTTGTGCCAGCAAAAGTATGAACATAAATTGCAGAATGAAAGTGAGGTATTTGGATGCAACAGCTCCCATAATCCAGAACAGAAAATGAGAGGGCATACCTTGCATTTCTCAGCAAACGTTAAGACCGTTGCCTTGTTGGCCCTCATGAGTCAGCTGAGGTTTTCGCAGTAACCCACCCAAAGTGTTCGACGAAATTACTGAAACAAAGTGTTTGTGTAACGTCTACGAGGGCGCGCGCGAGAGAAATAGCGGTAGTGTTTGTCACTTGTGACTCGTGAGGACGCGTTCAATGTCAAATGGGAGTCGAAGGTTGGGGTAGGGTTTTAGGGTGGTTTTGGAATTAAACCCAATTCTCCAATGCTCTTTCATTGCTTTTCTAATTTTATGCTTTATATATTATGTTACAATTATTATACACATACAAAAGGGCTTTATAGTAGGCAAAATAATTTATCTTTTTAAAGATAAACAACAAATAAAAAAGACTTTTGTAAATTATTTGTAGCTCGAGTAGTTAATAGTTAATTTCTTTGACAATTAAAATCGCTTATTTTGAAAATGAAGTACGTTACTCAATTATCTTTTTTCTTTATTTACATTTATTACATAAAAATTTGTTCTACAGCCTTTATATAAGTATTGGTTAAGATTGAAATTTCCTTCTAAATGACTTACCGCCTTTTTCATTTTCGGCAGAGAAGAGAATAATGAGGTTGAATTGGGAATTGACCAACCAAAAAATAAAAATACTTTGTGCTTCTATGAACTTGGAAGATGACATCTGAAAATGCTTTAAAAACAGGCAAGGTATCAAAAGCCAAAAGCTGATTCTCAGAGAAGGCCGAGAAATCGCCATCAACAGTTTCCACTCGAACTCGGATCGGATCTCCACATCCATCCAATAAAATCGGGCCATGGATTCGGAGCTTTTCGAGCGTGACCGGCACGTGACGTTTCTGCAGATGATGTACCAGCTTCTGCCGTCCCCCTATCAGAGCCAAGAAATCAACCGCCTCACTCTCGCCTACTTCGTCATCTCCGGCCTCGACCTCCTCAACGCTCTCGATGGCCTCGTACGTTTTGAAAGTTGCAATCTTTTCTCCCTTAAACGTTTTGTTGGGCTTCCTTTCTTTGGTTCACATCGATGAAATTCAAATCTTGATTTGTTAGGTTGACAAGGATGCAGTTGCCACCTGGGTTCTGTCATTGCAAGCTCATCCAAGAAGCACAGCCGAATTGAACAATGGTATGGGGCTTGCTTGCTTTCAAAAATGCAACATCTTTGTTTGTTTTTGGGTTTGAATTCAATATAATTGAATTGAATTGTTTTCATTTAAGCTTGCATTTGTACATAAATAATTAAAGAAACTAGCTTTTAACTTGTTTCAGGACAATTCTATGGTTTCCACGGTTCCAGAGCTGCTCAATTTCCTCCAGAGGATAATGATAATGAGGTATGAAGTTATGAACTAATTTCTGTGTTGTTTTAGCTTAACTGTCTTTTGGGTTTTAACCTGTTAGGGTGTAAGTTTAAGCAAATGGTTAGTATATAACAGCATTTTATGATTTACTTTCTCCTATTTCCTGTTAGTAATTTTATAGTTTAATCTTCATATAGGCTTTAAGTCCCAGTGTCAGTAACCTGGCGAGCACGTATTGTGCCCTAACCTTACTTAAAATCGTTGGCTGTAACTTGTCCAGTATCGACTCTGAGTCAATACTGACGTCAATGAGAAATCTTCAACAGCCTGATGGGAGGTATTATGGTTTACTGTAAAACTTTATAGCCTCATAATTGGATGCATTTGTTTCATTTCTTTTTGAGTTGGGGTGTTATGAGGTTGCTTGACCAATTTCCTGATATTTTTATACTGATTTTGGCAGTTTTATGCCTATACATACAGGAGCCGAGACTGATCTTCGATTCATTTATTGTGCTGGTACGACGGTAAAAGCTTATATGTACGTACTTTTTAAGCCATTTAATTCAATATACTTGACAATGTAGTATCAATTTAGCTGATTGATGTACCAGCGGCCATTTGTCATATGTTGGGAAATTGGAGTGGCATGGACAAGGAGAAAGCCAAGGAGTACATATTAAAGTGCCAGGTCAGTATGGATACTGCGGTGATTTTGGGCAGTCTATGAATTTATCTGTACTTAGTCATCCTCTTGACATTATATCTTCCATTTGATCGGTATATCTCCAAATTCTGAATACCATATACTTATACTTAAGTGACGTCGTTCTCTCAGTCATATGATGGTGGCTTTGGGTTGGTTCCTGGTTCAGAATCTCATGGTGAGTTGAAACTATTATGTATAATTGTTGAACTATATTATTTTTGCAGTTAATGCTTTTTTATTTTGAAACTTTTCAATTTTATTGGCATTGTTGTTGTTTGTGTCTGACTCTGATTTAAGAATGGGTTCGTTGTACCTATTTAACATTGATGCTGTGTTCCCAATTTTTCTTTTGATTTCCTTACCCACCCCTTTGCTTGTTTTTTAATCTTTTGCTTGATTCTTGTTATTTAGTATTTACTAAAGAAGGAAGAAAGCATATTTCTCAGACTAGCTCTTGTGTTATAAGTTCATAAGTTAGCTCTTGTGTTATAAGTTTATAAGTTTAAAATCTTCATTTTCTCCAATGATACAATATTCATCTTAGTGACACAGGTGGTGCAACATATTGCGGTGTTGCATCTCTCTGCTTAATGGGATTCATTGAAGATGAAATTCTTTCTAAAAATGCACCATCTTCCATAATAGATGTGCCATTGTTGCTGGATTGGTGCGTGCAGGTTTATTTCCCCACTTAAACTCTTCAAGCATTATCAGTTTTCCTTGAGATTGTACACTTTTAACATTCCAGCAAGTAAACAATTGACAGGCATGGCTTTAAAATCTGCCAAATAAGTAGATGCGTCTGAAAACATTGGTCCCTGACTTTGCATTCTCATAATTCAGATGATTTATCTCATTCTTGTATACCACTGCAGAGGCAGGCAGCTGACGGTGGATTTCAGGGTAGACCCAACAAGCCTAGTGACACATGTTATGCATTTTGGTAGGGGATGAACATCCTTTGGGAGTTTCATATAGTGTTGGGAATTATGTACACTGACAAGAGAAATTTGCTTGTGCAGGATTGCATCAGTTTTGAAGATTTTAGGGGGCCATAAATTCATTGACAAGAAGGCTTTACATGGATTTTTGCAAACTTGTCAGTCCAAGGTGCTTTTGCTTCTCTTATCTCGTATTATTAACCTATGATATGGTAGGAGGATAATGTAATTCAGATTTTTCACGGAAAATCTGTTATTAATTTGCCCATGCATACAAATAAAAGACTTTATTTGATCAATCCCACCCATTACAAGGGTAGGAAGATCATGAGGCTATTGATGATAGAAGCCCTGCCAACATGCTATATGGTTTCCATAAGTAATAGCTGGTCATCCCTATCTATTGATGGTATACATATGATTACGGCTAGAAACACAATTGAATATAAATCTAAGTACTTGTTCTTACAAAAACAAACCAGACCAACAAAATGCAGAAAATATGAATTGACTTTGGTGCTTGATTTGTATGGCAACATCATCTTTTGTGAACATCGGGAACGCTGTAGTAGGCTACTCATATGATATTATGGAAGTCGCTCAATTTCTTTCTGATATTTTTCCTAAGCTAATACTGTTGCTTACAACTCCTGACTTTGTTGCTCATATTTGCATTTTCATCAGTACGGTGGTTTCAGCAAGTTCCCAGGGCAGCTGCCCGATCTATATCACTCCTATTATGGGCTTACGGCATTCAGCCTCTTAGAAGAACCAGGCCTGAATCCACTGTGTGTTGAGCTGGGAATGACTGCAATTGCTACCATGGGAATTTGACTTGATAGTCCTTCATATTTGTTGGCCTTGTAGTTGGTCTTTCAAAAATATTTGTGCGTTTCCACTCGTACAATTGCGCTCTTCATAATGAACAATGAACTTTCACCTTCATTCTACTTCACAATGTCGATAAAAGGGGAGATGTAATTTTCATACAGAAGTTGCATTTTGGGAGATAACCCTGCTCAGTTTTTCCCTTCTCCCTTTTTTATTTTATTTTCTGTTATCAAGTGAAATTATAAAACCAGGTGTCACTTTCACTTAAATCGAGTTCAATTGAAAGCAACAATGAAATGGAGATATATTACCTGACCACAATAGTTGTTGGTAAACTTTTGTCAAAGTGACCTAAAGCATGTGACTTTCTATCATCATCACACGTTTCTAACTTTTTATGAAGTGCTGATGTTTTCTCTTCTGCTAACATAACAGTTATTTATATAAATTTAAAAAAATAGCAGTTTTTATGATTTTTGGTCGAGAAACCCTCCGTACTGTGAAATGGAAATTCAGTCCAATGAACAATGAAATAAGGAAGGACCATTAAAGTAAAAGTTGATTTACACATTAAAGCTCATGATTTGAGTCAAGAATCTGTCAGCACAGAAGATTACAAAGCGGGACAGTAAAAAAGTAAGAGCCTATAATGATTCTTCCAGGTGGAGGGAAGGAGAGTTGGACCTTTCGGCAAATTCCCACAAGCCACTTTCACGGGGCATTTGCTTATCTTTGTTGTTTGGGAAAAAGGCCAAATGCCATCTCAACTCCATTCTCCTTTTTTCAACTTTGTCATGTAATGCAGGTGGTGGTCTGCTCTGCTTTCTTAATTATCATGTCAGCCAGTAGGTAAATCAATGTTTTTAAATTTTCCATGCTTAATTAAACTCTACCTTTGTACAAAGATATTAATTACCCCTTCAAAATCTTTTTTTACCAAAACTAGTGGGATAAACATGCCAGAACAAGGACATGGCAACAATGATTGTTTATGCATGCTCTTACTGATAAAAGTAGGAGAGAGAGAGAGAGAGAGAGAGAGAGAGAAGAATTTGGTCTCAAATTTTGGACAAGAACATCAGTTGTTGTAGCATTATCACTCACAAGAAGATTACAGGTATCAGACAACTCAGGGGACATTTGAGACTGAATAAAACAAATAACTTCACAGCCACAGGTCCCCCACTTGCACCAGACCCATCTCTCCCACCATCAGGTTGCAGAAAATGTGTCCCCCCCCCCCCTCCCATTAAAATTCAAGATACATTGCACAAGGGATTTTTCATATTAACCTATTACTAAACCCTCAGCCTAAAAAACAAGATAAACCCAACACACCAAAAATTAGTAAAATCCAAAAAGAAAAAAGAGAAGAAAAAAAAAAGAGAGAGATCAAATTGTTCTCTAATGTAAAGTGGGCTTCTTGTTAATTGGTGATCTGAATGCTGAAGGTGAAGAAGCAAGGGGAAGAACCTGAGAAGTGCT